GTAACCAGCGTATCCAGCGTAACCAGCGTAACCAGCGTAACCAGCGTAATCGGCGTAACCAGCGCAACCAGCGTAATCGGCGTAATCAGCGTAACCAGCGTAACCAGCGTCATCAGCGCAGCTAGCCACCGCCAGCGTACCAGCGTACCAGCGTGCAATCACTCGCGGACACGCTTTGCCACGTCGCTCTGAAGTTGAAAAGATAGAAACATCAAAAGTAGACAATAGACAAGTCAAAAAGCTGAAAAGTTGTCTGCACCAAGGTCGGCCTTTCCAAAGAGTCAAAGTCAAAAAGTCGAACACTTTTTACCTTTTGCGAAGAGTTTCTTTTTTTTCCTTCTGTGCGGTGTGCGGCGATAGGAGTGCTTAGTTGAAAGACACATGTAAACAGTGTTTTCAGACACATAAGTTCTTGAAATTGAAGAAGCTTTATCATGCTTTATCACTGCCCGTGGCTTGGAGGAAAGGCTGCCAATTTGTGCTTCACAAGAAGCCCAATGAGTAGCGGCCTCAGCCAGCTAAGCTGGTGCTGTCGTTCGGCCATGTCATGCTGAAAGTGAGAGCTGTCAGGTGGCTGAAGAATGGCTCCACCAATTTCCTCATAGACTTTGCAAAGGCCGGGCAGGGACCGGGGTCTTAGCTGTTGAAAAGGGAACATTTTGCCTTTTCTCTTTGGCGGCTTCTAGGCGTAGCGAGGCAGACTAGTGAAGCGACCAAGGATGTCGGGCAGCGGACATCAGATTTTAGGATTCTTCAAGGAAACCTCGGCAGGAGAAGCCTGCTTAAAGACCCTTGGAATGAAACAAATTGAATATTTGTGGGACAGTCACACTTAATGTATAACAATTGGTTGCTTTTCCTGAGCACAGAGTTGGTTGCTGAAAGCAGTGGTGCAAGGTGGCAGAGAGCAGATCCTTCCGTGATTTGGTCACAGAAGCTGCGAAGCAACAACCCACAGCGAAGGCGTACGGATACTACACAGGGATTCTCAAAGCACACTTAGTCATTGCCACATCTTGTTTATGTTCGATGAACTCTTCGAAGCCAACTACCTTGAGAGGTCTCTTGCTACAGCTCCAGTGGAGTTGAAGTGGCTATCATCGCCGCTGCAAAAGGCGCTGCTCTGAGATGGATGGTATATCATATCAATGTATATCAGCATATCACTGACGGCCTCAGATGGCTATCATGACTGGTTGAAACGCCTTTCGTCAAGGGGGCCACTGTGACGTCGACGCCATAGTCCGCACGGACCGTGACGCTCAGATGCACAAAAATGTGAAGCATTCTGGCTTGAAGCACCCAGGCACTAACCATTGAGATGCGCACATCACTAGTTTGTCATCACTAGTTTTAAGGATTTGGTGCTTCAGTATGGTCCAGCTGGTAAAGACCGGCGGTGGACCTCATCCACCAGGAGTGGTCTTGCTTATTTGTGTAACCTTTTCCGTTTCCCTACAAGAGACTCCTTCCGTTCTTCTTTCCTCCCAGACCTTTTGCATTCATTGCTGCAGGCTCCACCTGGAGAAGGCTGGTCAAGTCTCAAAGGCAGGAGGCAAAACTGCATTTTTGTTGTTTCTGTTTGTTCCTAAAGCCTGGGGGTGGTAGGCCATTAGAGGAAGAGGTATAAGCTAGCTAGCTATAGTAGCTCTCAGGTACTAGACATGCTCCTAGTAACTGGACGCAGGATAGCTCATTCTTCCTTGAAGAATCGCTCACACAATCATTTGGTTCCTAGATTTTTGGGAAAAGAACAGATTTAAAACATCGTCCAATGTCCAATGACATCCTGAACTAAGTATCATCCTGAACATCCCCAAAGATGAGTCAGCTTTTGAAGACCACTTCGTTCTGCCACTGGATTGAATGATATGTCGGCATGTTTTTGCAAGGGCAACATCAAAATCGATGCGCAGAACTTGAACAAGTGGCCTGACTCAGACGGCAAAGTCAAATCCAAACTTTAAGGCTTTGGCCAGAACACTCCAAGTCAAATCCGAAAGAACCTTCACTAGGCACAGGCAGCAAGGGTCAGACTTTGCACAATCCGCATCGGCCACAATCCTGTGCCCTCCATGAACGCTGCAAAACTGAATAGAATGTTTGAACAGTCTTCCTTTTTTCCCTCTTGACCACACCAAATCAAACCCGATCAATTGTGTCGGTCGTGCACGATGACGCTTGAGGTACTTGATGTTTGTCTTGCACGACCCCTCCGTAAACCAGTGGCTGAAGGACACAAGCAGATTCATAGAATAGAATTTCGTAGAGTTTCAAACATGCGTCACCAGCAATTAATCAATATAAAATCATATAAAGATGCGGCGCCTGTTACTCTCAAGGATGCTGGGAGGGACTTCGCCTTTGAACTTCCAGAAGAAGTTTGTAAAGCGCCAGAGCCGGCCGTAAAGGCTCGCCATTGCGGTTGTGAGAGAGTGTTGACGCAGCAATTCTCTCAAACTTGAGTGTTTGAGGAGAGCTTTCAGCCAAAGGCTAGGCTAGAACGGCGGGCCTCAAAGCTCTTCAGTGCCGAGCTTGGTAAAGACAAAAGAAAGCAAAGTGCAGCGAAGAGGTTTGAGACATTGGATGAATTTTGCAGGTGTAAAGTTTCAAGGGAGCCATGTTACAAAATGGTATCATTTACAACCATAAGCTTGTATGTTACTTCAATGCGCCACTGCTCTTTAGCTCATGCCCGGTAAAAGGACACCATTTCTTCGCTGTTCCTCTCGAGAGTTCACAACCTTGTGGCAGACATTGACATCTAGTCTAGTCCCTGGATTTGAAATTCCATCTCTAAGTCGAAACCCAACCTAATAACGATGGCCTCCAACCTAATTTACAGCCTTCGGCATGCCGCCGGCCACCAGCTCGAGCCCGCATTGGCAGGCAGCTTAATGATACAATACCCTGCTCAATCATACTTGTTGGTGCATTGGAGGTGCACATTTGGCTGGGTGAGTTTGTTGATGTTTATTTCAAGGTTGTTTGACCATGAAATGGAACAAATCCGAATCAGAGGTTGTCTATTCTGATCCAGCGATCCGAACCGGCATGTCTCAGTCGAATCACCTAAGAGGAACCAAGTGAAACCAACACAAGCAATGCGAACCAAGACTATCCACAAAACATGACCTTGAAAACGACTCTTCTTCCAAACTACTTGGCCGTGTGCATGTTGAATTATCAGATCTTTTTTTCGACCATCTCGAGGGATTGCGACACGCACCAGATATTCCTTTTCACACACAGAAGGCTTCAAAGCGACCGAAGAATTTCTAGATCTTGCATGATTTGTCGCTTTTTTCTCCAAACCGTTTGAAGTGAAAGACCCAGAATGACATCGAACAACAATACCCTGCTCAATCAGACTTGTGGGTGCATTGGAGTTGCACATTTTGCTGGGAGAGTTTGTTGAATCAGAGGTTGTCTATTCTGATCCAGCGATCGACATGTCTCAGTCCAATGGTTGTCTATTCTGATCCAGCGACCTACTACCTACTACCTACTACGTACCACCTACCACCTACTACCTACGACCTACGACCTATGACCTAGGGGGGGGGGCGTCAGGCTGTCGAAAATCTCGCGCGGAGAGACAATACTCAAGCAATACTAACCAATACAAGCAATACTAACCAAAACAATCCACAAAACACGCCGGCAGGCCGGCGGAATAGGGATGGCCTCCAACCTAATAGCGATGGCCTCCAACCTAAGCTTCGAACTACTGAATCAAAGGATATCAAAGGACACGCTCACGAATTTGGTGTGCTATTCCAGGCTGACCTAGGAGCGTACAAGGCCTTTTTTGTGTGAGCAGACGGTGTTTGAGGCACTTTTGTGGAAGATATCCAGTGACTTGGAAGCAATGACACTTGTTGGTGCCTTTTTGCAGTGCACTGCGGAGTGCTGCGCAGTGCTGTGCTGTGCAACGGCCAGGAGGGCTGAGCCTGATGCCAAAACCACTTCTTGGCAAGTGCCTGGCACCGACATCGAGGTTGTCCTTTTGGCCACAGCGGTACCTTTGCTAAGTTCAGTTTTTTCTTCCACAGTGGAGAATTCAAGAATGCGGAGCCGAAATGTTCAAGCTGAGACTGACACTGAATGCCACCTTCAAGTCCTTGTGCACTGCTCCGTTGAGCTGGTGATTCAGCCGCGACCCAAGTCTCATCAGCCTCCAGTGCTGCGAGGTCGGGGTGAGGAAGGAAGCAAACATGTTTTACACTTTTGCATGTAGCAGTAGTCGGCAATGTTATATGGTAGTTCCCCAATAGCCACGCTATGGGGTCTTGCAAAACTAATAGGCGGACGGGCGCCGTCGGGTCACCGTCAGAGCTGGTGGGCGGATGGTGACCCAGTCATGTTGTGATGGTGTCCCGGTCCTGTTGTGATGGTGTCCCGGTCCTGTTTTGATGGTGTCCTGGTCATGTTGCGATGGTGTCCCGGTCATGTTTTGAAGGTGTCCCGGTCATGTTGTGATGGTGTCCAGGTCATGTTGTGATGGTGTCCCGGGCATGTTTTGATGGTGTCCCGGTCGTGTTGTGACGGTGTCCCGGTCATGTTTTGATGGTGTCCCGATCATGTGATGGTGGCGCGGTCATGTTGTGATGGTGTCCCGATCATGTTTTGATTGTGTCCCAGTCATGTTGTGATGGTGTCCCGGTCGTGTTTTGATGGTGTCCCGGTCGTGTTTTGATGGTGTCCCGGTCATGTTGTGATGGTGTCCCGGTCATGTTGTGATGGTGTCCCGGTCATGTTGTGATGGTGTCCCGGTCATGTTTTGATGGTGTCCCGGTCGTGTTGTGACGGTGTCCCGGTCATGTTTTGATGGTGCCCCGATCATGTAATGGTGGCGCGGTCATGATGTGATGGTGTCCTGATCATGTTTTGATTGTGTCCCAGTCACGTTGTGATGGTGTCCCGGTCCTGTTTTGATGGTGTCCCGGTCATGTTTTGATGGTGTCCCGGTCATGTTGTGA